TGGAAGAATAGGAAAGGAAGGGAAAGGAAAGGAAGAAAAGAGGGAAGAAAGCAAAGGAAGGAGGGAGGAGAGGAAAGGGAAGGAGGGAGGAGAGGAAAGGAAAAGGAATTGAAGAAAAGGAAAGGAAGGGAAAGGAAAGGAAGAAAAGAGGGAGGAAAGGAAAGAGGGAGGAAAGGAAGGAAAGGAAAAGGAATGGAAGAATAGGAAAGGAAGGGAAAGGAAAGGAAGAAAAGAGGGAAGAAAGCAAAGGAAGGAGGGAGGAGAGGAAAGGGAAGGAGGGAGGAGAGGAAAGGAAAAGGAATTGAAGAAAAGGAAAGGAAGGGAAAGGAAAGGAAGAAAAAAAGGGAGGAAAGGAAAGAGGGAGGAAAGGAAGGAAAGGAAAAGGAATGGAAGAATAGGAAAGGAAGGGAAAGGAAAGGAAGAAAAAAAGGGAGGAAAGGAAAGAGGGAGGAAAGGAAGGAAAGGAAAAGGAATGGAAGAAAAGGAAAGGAAGGGAAAGGAAAGGAAAGGAAGAAAAAAAGGGAGGAAAGGAAAGAGGGAGGAAAGGAAGGAAAGGAAAAGGGAGGGAGGGAAAGGAAAGGAAGGAAAGGGAAATGAAAGGAAGAAAAGAGGGAGGAAAGGAAAGAGGGAGGAAAGGAAAAGGAAGGGAAGGAAAGGAAATGAAGGAAAGGGAAAAGAAAGGAAGGAAAGAGGGAGGAAAGGACGGAAAGGAAAAGGAAGGAAAGGAAAGGAAGGAAAGAGGGAGGAAAGGAAAGGAAAAGGAAGGGAAGTAAAAGGAAAGGAAGATAGAAAGAGGGAACAAAGGAAAGGAAGATAGAAGAAGGATGGGAAAGGAAAGGAAAGGAAAATAACACGTATGTATATGTGAATCACATCCAGGCAAGATTTCTTGCTTGCTCATTTTGTTAGTAGCTTCTTTTACATGAGAAGCAACAACTGAAATATTTCAAACTCCAGAAATACTTGAGTCGAACACAAGGCCCTTCTGCTCAGGAAACCCAAGGGGCAAGTTTCAAAAACCGGAGTAAAATGTTTCCGCACCTATATAGACATTTCTCTTGAAATGTTTGCAGCGCAGCCTCACTAGAATGTTCTGCCTTTGCTTTTCAGCTCCTGTCCTTGCCAAGGTTGAAAGCCAAGGCATCGATGGAGACACACGGAAGGAAACACCTTTCAAGATGGTGAGCAGACGAGGAAGATACTGCAGGAGACAGAATTTACGACCTGGCCAGAGCAGAGTTTTTCAAATGTGGCCCCTTTAAGAGGTGTGGACTTCAACTCCCAGAACTCCCCAGCCAGCTATTCTGGGAATTCTGGGAGTTGAAGTCCACACATCTTAAAGTTGCCGAGACTGAGAAACATTGGGGTAAAAAGTTTCGGTCGCCACGATGTAAAAAAAGATGTGGAGACTCTAGAAAGAGTGCAGAGAAGAGCAACCAAGGGGAGAACAATTAACCAGTGGAACAACTTGCCTCCAGAAGTTGTGAATGCTCCAACACTGGATGTTTTTAAGAAGAGATTGGACAACCATCGATCTGAGGTGGTGTAGGGTTTCCTGCCTAAGCAGGGGGTTGGACTAGAAGACCTCCAAGGTCCCTTCCAACTCTGTTATTCTATTCTAATACCTCTTTACTCCTCCCTGATGTGCTTTTCGTGGGAGAGAACAGGAACTGATTTTTCCAGGGAACAAGGAACAGCGGGAAAAACTGGTTTGTTACAATGAAGGCGTTGGTCTCCAAAGGATTTTGATGCCCTGGTGACTTTTCCCTCGTTTATTCTCTCCTCCTGCTTTGCCCTGCCTTTCACACCGGTGGATTCCCCCCCCCCCCCTACGTTTGGCAGGCAAAGTTTGCACATTGTACTCAGCCAGGAGTCCTCGGAGGTTCAGTTTACCTAATGGGCTGGGACCCATGCAGCGCACTGAGTCACAAAGGGCCACAAGGAACCCCCCTCCCCTCCAAGTGTGAATTCCATCCCCACCTTCCCAAGGCAACCCACCCACCCACCGCCATGACCAATCCAGAGGAAAGGAGAGGAGGGGAGGGGGAGGTTTAACCACACACTCTGGCTGGATTCGGAAAGAATTGAAACAACAACTTTGGTTTTCCAAAAGGACCTTTTGAAATTCTCCTCCAGATGAGAAGACAAACAAGGGAAAGAAGCATCAAGCAGAGCTCCCTGGCAGGTGAACAAACACTGCAGTTGGAGACCAAGGGCTGGATCATTTCCCCGCTTGGCAGGGAGAGTAGCAATGAGGAACCGCAGGCAGATTCGCCCTGAGATCAGCCCTGGGTGTTTAACAGATCCATGGGAAGGCTGCAGGTTGCAGGAGAAGAAAACAATGGATCTCTGCAACCTCTTCTTGGCCAGATCCACCCAGGAGAACCTCTCCAGCTGTTCCCTCTTTTAAGGGAGGGTCGGAAGGAAAATCCTTGTTCATCAAGTTGTGGGGCAATTGGAAGAAAGCCAAGGAAGAGCATGGAGATGCCATGAGGGGGGGGGGGCTGCAGTCTGCTAAGAGGGCGCTTGGTTGAAGCATCGAGGCTTCGAAAGCATGAAGGAAAATGGCACCTTTTTTTGAAAGCCACCAAAGAATGTATTTGATGCGTAGTAGGAGACAAGTAATCTACTGATAAATGAAAATCTCCGTAGCTCCGGGGTTGAACTGTGGAGTCCTTGTTGCTCTCTGAATGTGATTGTTTTCTTGTAGATGTTTCATGACCCAACTAGGTAACATCATCAGTGCTAGAAGGGGGTGAGGTTTGCAGGGAGGAGGAGGAGGAAGAGGAGGAGGAGGAGGAAGAGGAAGAGGAGGAGGAGGAGGATTACTGTGGGGTCCTTGATTGCTCTCTGAGCTTAGTTATTTTCTTGCAGACATTTCACGACCCAACTAGGTAACATCATCAGTGCTCCCATTGATGATAGCGCTGAACATGCAACCAGAACCCCACAGCTGATCTACTGAGAATGGCCCATTTCATATCCAAAGGTGGAAAGACTTGAAGAGGGGAATGCTTACGGCTTCAGCCAGGGTGGCCTGTTTGGCTCTTCTCTGCTGCAGAAGTTCCTTCACTGTCATCTTCACTCGGACCCCCTGGTAGATTTTCGCCTTCCCTGAAAGGAGACCGTGGGGGGAAAAAGCTTTTTGGCGGAGACAAGACACTCGGCAGGGCCCTGGAGTTCTGGAGCGGTCAGCACTCACACATTCTCCCAAGAGCAACACTCAAAGCACGCAAACAGCCGGCTGTGGCTTCTTGAAAGCCAACTCTGGTTAAGAAGAAGTGAAGACACCATCCCTGACATCTTCTGGCTTCGATCCACAGTTTAATAAACCACAGTTTATTAAATAAACCACACTTGGCAAGGTTTACCCATTGTATTAAAGTGGTGTTTTTCAAACTTGTCACCTTTTAAAATGTGTTCCTTCAACTGACAGAATTCCCCAGCCAGGGGAATTCCTTCCTTCCTTCCTTCCCTTCCTCCTTCCCATTTCCTTTCCTTCCTTTCTTTTCCCCTTTCCTTTCTCTCCTTTCTTCCTCCCTTCCCTTCCCAACCTTTTCCTTTCCTTTCTTCCTTCCTTCCTTCCTCCCTTCCCTTCCCCCTCCCATTCCCTTCCCTTCCTTCCTTCCTTCCCTTCCTCCTCCCATTTCCTTTCCTTCCTTTCTTTTCCCCTTTCCTTTCTCTCTTTTCTTCCTCCCTTCCCTTCTCAACCTTTTCCTTTCCTTTCTTCCTTCCTTCCTTCCTCCCTTCCCTTCCCCCCTCCCATTCCCTTCCCGTCCTTCATTCCTTCCTTCCTTCCCTTCCTCCTCCCATTTCCTTCCCTTCCTTTATTTTCCCCTTTCCTTTCTCTCCTTTCTTCCTCCCTTCCCTTCCCAACCTTTTCCTTTCCTTTCTTCCTTCCTTCCTCCCTCCTTTCCCTTCCCCTCCCATTCCCTTCCCTTCCCTTCTTTCATTCCTTCCTTCCTTCCCTTCCTCCTCCCATTTCCTTTCCTTCCTTTCTTTTCCCCTTTCCTTTCTCTCTTTTCTTCCTCTCTTCCCTTCCCAACTTTTTCCTTTCCTTTCTTCCTTCCTTCCTTCCTCCCTTCCCTTCCCCCCTTCCATTCCCTTCCCTTCCTTCCTTCCTTCCCTTCCTCCTCCCATTTCCTTTCCTTCCTTTCTTTTCCCCTTTCCTTTCTCTCTTTTCTTCCTCCATTCCCTTCCCCCCTTTCCTTTCCTTCCTTCCTTCCATTCATCCTTTCTTCATCCTTTCTTTCTATGGAACGATCTACCCGTAGAGATCCGGACCCTTCCCACTCTCTCGGCCTTCCGTAAAGCCACCAAGACCTGGCTGTTCCGGCAGGCCTGGGGCTGTTGATCAATATCCAGCCCCACTTAGACAGAATGGATGGTGCGTCATTTTAATAATTGTATCTTTGATTTTAATTTTTAAACGTTTTTTTTTTATCTTGCCTGTAAGCAGCCCAGAGTCCCAAGCGAGTGGGCGGCATACAAATTTTATTAAATTGAAATTGAAATTGAATCTTTTGCCTTCCTTCCTCCCTTCTCTTCCCCCCCTTCTGTTTCCTTTCCTTCCCTTCTCTTCCTTCCTTCTGACATTCTGTCTTTCCTGCATGAATTCACACCCTGGGGCCTCCCTTTCATTCATCCCCAAAATAACACCCTCCAAAGAATTTGGGCCAGCTGAGAAAACATACCCCCAATTCACCCAGGGCGTGTCTAAAGCGAAGAGTGGATTTGAACCTGGATCTCCAAGCACAGGGAAACGCCAGACTTCAGCAGCAGGATTTAGACTGAGACCAACTGAATTCTTTAAAAGGGAAAAGTTGCCAAGTTTTTTTGTTTTTTTTTGTTAATGAGCTTTTGTAGGGAGATTAAGAGGAGCTCAGCAGGATTACCTCCCAGTCCTGCAGTTGTGTTTTCACTGAGATTCCCCAGCGAGCATTTGAAAAGAAATCCCCGAGGGGAACATTTCAAGCACATATTCCACTTGCCCTCTTTAAATCTCTGCTTTCGAATCAAGCTGGCACTTTGGACACCACTCCACAACAGGGAAATGAGAAAGGGAGTTAATTGTGTTCCCGGTTTATCAACAGCCAAATGTTCTTACTCCCCACCCATTCGCTGAATCTCTCTCTTAAAATAAAAAATCTTCGGTACTTCTTACACCAGGAAGTGCTAGGGGTTCAAACTTGGCAACTTTAAGACTTGTGGACTTCAACTCCCAGAATTCTCCAGCCAGCTTCTCAGAAGCTGGCTGGAGAATTCTGGGAGTTGAAGTCCACAAGTCTTAAAAGTTGCCAAGTTTGGGGACGCCCGTGCTAGAGTTTAATCCCCCCCTTTTATTCCCTAGCCTCCCCTCCCTCAAATAATTTAGGTGCCCCATCCATCACCTTATTATATATAAAGATGTGTTGTCTGTTGGGATCCTATCCTTTCCCCCAAACACAGGATGGGCTCTTTCATAGCAACAACCACGGATGGGCTCCGTGATTTTATTCAATTTTCACTGCCATGAGTGTGTGTGTGTGGGGAGATTAATTCTCTTAGACTCCCCCCCCCCCACTTTAGACCTGCTTGGCTGTGTTGAGTCTCTTGCACACTTGCGTCCATGCACACACACACAACCAGACGTTTCTTGGCTGGATCCCTTAGCAAATGGGGTGGGTGGCAATTTTCTTATCCACTGTTCATCTCTAACTGAGACCCCGTTAAGAACAATTTCAAAAGCACTCATTGTAATGTACAACCACAAGCAGTTTTAACAGTTGTTGTGTTTGTGTGTGGGGGGGGGGATTTGCCCTTTCAGTGTGATTTATCCAGCACCCATTTGTCCTTTCAGTGTGATTTATCCAGCACCCATTCAGCCCAAATCCTTAAACATACCATTCTTTGCCATTTATTGGTCTTTTGAATTGGCGCTTAGATAACCCGTGGCTCTCAACCCAAGGTGGGCAATTTATGGTGGGCCTGCCTTGGTTCTGTGGCCAGGACTGGAGGGGGGGGTGCAGGTTGCATAAGCTTGTTGGAAAGAGATTCCCCTGGGGAGGTGGAGGGGGGGAGGTCGGGACCATCTGGGTTTGTCCCCCCCTCCCCAAGGTACCCTGGGTAGTGTAGTTTCGCCTCCTCTGCGCTTTCAGCCCCCTCGTCCTGCGATTTGACGCCGGAGCGAAGAGGGGGTCTGACCGCCTCTGGGTGGTGTCGCAGCGCCCGGTCTCTGTGAGTGAACTGCACGCTCGTTTCTTGGGGGGGGGGGAGAGAAAGGGGCGAGGGGAGGCAGGCGGCCGGCGGTTCCACATCTGGGATCGGAGGAGGAGGAGAGGAGGGGAAGAAGAAGGAAGGCTGGAGGGAGAGAGAAAGGCTGGCCTTTTTGGGTGGGTAGGGGGCTTTGCATTCCCTCCAGGGATGGGAATATCCGGAGGGGCCACTGCCGGAGGACTGGGTTGCAAGCGGAGCGAACCCCCCACCCCGCCCCGCATGTGCAAATGGCGTCCCGGAGGCTGCGGCGGGCGCAGGACCGACAACAGCCGCAGCAGCACCCGGATGGTGCCAAGGATGGGAGGGGCGCAAGATTTGGCTCCGCTCCTGCTGCGCTCCGAGTGGGGCAGCCGGAGGGCGCCACGGTGCCTTCCCGAGTGGGCTGGCTAAGGCGGCGGAGTCCCGGCGCCGTCGGGAAGGCTAAAGCCAGCACCAACGCCCTTTGGAGAGCGCCCCGCAGCCTTTGCGCGCGGAGAGGCTGGCGCACACCTGACCGGTCCTGGTCGGGGGTCGCGAGGGGACGTCTCCCCTCGACCCTGGCCTCGCTTTCCCTGGGCAGGACCAGAGGGAGAGGCGCTGGAGGAGCCGTCGTCAGCGGCGCAAACTTTCAGGCTGCGCTTTCCTCCTGGAAAGGGTCTCCTTTCGCCCTCCTGCCGCCCCCCCCCCGCTGCCCATCTTCCCCTCCGCCAGTTGCACCCCCAAACACGCCTCGCACGTCCCCCACCGCCTGCCCTTTTGCACGCCTCTCCCGGCTCCCCGAAAACGGCTCCAGACACGAAGCAGGTGCCGCCAAAATCGCGTCCCGGCAGTCGTAAGAACGAGCCAGCTGCGCGCAAGCACTTTGCGCGTTAGAAGCGTCCGCCGCGCGGCAGCGCCGCGGCTGGCCGTCGGAAGCATCGCGCCCGGGAGGGGTGGGGGTGGGGAGCCTCGGGTTGGCGGGGAGGGGGTCTCTTTTGAGCACCCTCAAAAAGGGAGGGGCGCCTTCCTTCCTTCTCTTTTACGCCTTTTCTTTCCAACGCCAGAATTTTGGGGCGTCGGATGGAAGC